TACAGCTCTAAAGAGTGCTTGAGAAACAAACAACTCTCAACTCCCTTGGTTCAGTTTCTTGGATAGTTGCCACTTGATAAACCAGCCAATTTTGACACTGCTACAGTAATAACACAAAATCATCCATTATAATCTTAGCCTCCAGCTGGAGAAGAGCACCAGTGTAAAGAAGGTACCTGTCTTTATAGACAAGGTTTGTAAAAACAAATTGGGAAATTACTTATGGGTCTGTTGGGAAAGTCTTGTGATTTGGGGTAGGGGAAAACAGCCAAAGCCTCTGAAACATCTTTCACATAGGGACATACCTAGAGTATACTGCTCAGAGCATTGTTTTAGTAAAAAGTTACTCAGGAAGTATTTAACCTTTATTAGCCTAAAGTATTGGCCATTATTGCATACAAATATACACTCTCCTCCCCCCTCCAAGACCTTTAGATCAGACATGTCACTGATTTGAATTCAATTCTTTGAATATCTTCAGTTAGTAGTCAGCTTGCAAAAAACAATGCTAAGACTGTATGTTTCATTGTATGTTTCTATTTGACAAATAGCAAAAAAGTCTTTTCTGAGCATAGACCTTGTGAAATTTTTAAAGCTTTATAAAAGCTCTCTTTTTTCCCCATGGATCAAAATTATTAAAGATTAGTTGTCCTTGTAACCAGTACACCTCACTCTTTCATATTTGGAGAAGCAAGCCAAAATACTCACGTAACTACCCTAAGGTTTTAGCACAGAGTTATAATTCTTAGCAAGCCACATTTGTGAATATCTGATTATTTTTTCCTCATCACTTTGAAGAAGCAGTCTTGTTTGCTCATTATTAAAGAAAAGTATGCTTTAAGCTGGCAACAAGTTGACAACCTGTCTCTTCTTAGCATCCCCTGAAGCTAACATTTGTAAAACCATCTTGTAGGGCAAATAGGTCAATTGTTGACTTTATGCTTTTTAGAGATATAGTTGTGTATTCATTTCTACTGAGAAGCTGACAACTTGGACATACTAAAGACTACAGTTTCCCAGGACTTGTCTCCTTCCAAACAGCAGCCAAAGTGTGCATGTGGGGAAAAATAAAACAAAATAGTTATGAATGTAAGATATTGTTAAAGAATGCAAAGGAAATTTTTTTCAGACAGAGCAGGAAGTGAATATGAGAGACAAGCATACCAAGCTAAAATGTTATTCCCATTTTCACTAAAAACCTGCAAATTCATGATCAACATCAAAATGGTTCTAGTATTCCATCAGCACTATTTATACATGAGTCTAAGAATGTTTATTTTTGTGAATTTTCACTGCAAAGGTAACTCATTCTGGCTTTTCTCTAGGTTTGCAATTTCGGATCTCTAGCACACGTTAGCAGTTAACTGTAATTTACAGCACTTGTTGACACCTTCCAAAGAAGCATGTGGCTAGGCAATATATAAGCTTTAACCAAATTAATATTAGAAGAACTTTCTGTTCTCAAACTCAGTCTTTGGAAAGAATCTGTATGCTCAACAGTTTTGGTGCTTAGTCACATAAAATTGCTCTTTCAAGTGATAAGATGCCAGACAATTGTGTGTCTGAAAAAAATGAGCAAGAAAAAAAAAGTAGCAGCTGAACACAACATATGTGTAGTAACTTTCTGCAATGGTTTGGCAGACCAGTTTGTCTATCCCAATTCAAATACCAAGTACTATATTAATACACAAAGGCAGTAACTTGCTTTGTTTTCAGATACAATCCTCTAGGACCTCATCACTTAAAAATCAGCAGTCTTATGTGACTAAGCACCAAAAATGTTAAAAAACAAATGTATTTGCACAGATGTTAAATACCAATGCAATGTATCTACAACTGTTACGAAACAACATTGAAAAGATTTAAGATGGATTTAGAATGGCTACTGCACTTGTTTTCAAGTAACACTGAATATCAAAGAGCAAGACACAAACTGTAGTAATGAGTTTGCATTTTTATACTGCCTTTCAGGCATAGTCATAAGTTATTCTGTCAGCAGCAGTTGAAGGAGTTACTAGTTATACTCTCCCTTTTAACCTACTTCCACCCTCATCATCATGACTCACTGTTCACTCCCATGGTCTTACCACAGATTACTTGCTTCCACTCAATACTAAGAATACACTTATTTTAAAGGGCCAAGGAAGTGACCAAGGATCTGTTTCACAGATGCAGTTTAGTGAACAGCCATGGAAGTATTTGAAGATGCTCAACCATGGAAATGGTGATTTCTGGCAATAAAGTAGAAAAAAAATATTGGAATGTGCAGCTTCAGACTGGATCTGCTGTTGATAGAAGAATAAAGTGTAACTACAGCCTTAGCCTTTAAAGAGCCTTGTGCACCTTAACATCTACTGAAAGACTGCATTAAGTTATTATATACAGTTTCCCTCCCCAACAGTAAAGCTTAACATCATCCAGTTTCACATAGGTATCATAGGTTCTTAAAACCACTTGAACACCATCTATGATTTCAGAGTAGCAAGATAAGTAGTCAAGCTAGGTTTCAGCTTATTCAACTACACTGTCAGGAATAACAGTTCCAAATTTTGAAGACAAATACTGGTACCTATCCTGCATGGACATAGGAGCCCTGAAAAATCAATAAAAGCAGGAATAGCTCTCTAAAGATCCAAAAATTATGCCTACTGAGGCAGGGCAGAAATAAGCAGAACAAGACTGCACTCACAGGCCTGTTCCTAGTCTACTGGATAATGTTCGTCATAGAGCAGTATTACTTGACTTCATTAGCCTAAAGATAATGGGTGCTGCTTTGAAATATGTGCCCTTAACTTGGGCACATTTAATTGTTTACGCAACCCTTGAACTCTTACCTGAACCATTCTTGGGGATGGTTCATGTAGACTATATTCATGTTCATTTCAAGGACTGGTCTTTTGTGAACTGATGAGAAAATAAATGCATATATTATTGAAATATGTAATAAATAATGTAGAATGACGTGTAAGAGAAAAGAATACTTCAAAGTTTCTTTGAATCAAAATATTTTACGTGTTACTGACCAGAGTTCAGAATTACCACAGAATTATCTGTGCTAGAATTATTAAGTGGGGAACAGTGGCTTGACAATACAAAGCTAAGATGGATAACTGCAATCTTCCCTTCCTGGAAAAAAACAGGAAAATTGCATACATAATAAACTCCTTTCTTAAAAATCAACAACTTAACAACAAAATAACTGGATAAATCCAGGGTGATTTTTTTTTTGTTGGTTTTTTTTTTTTTTTGACAGAAAAACATGAAGCAGTAGATCAAAAGTACAAATTCTGCTTCAAATAAGTGAATAGGAATGTACAACTCCTTGACGCTATATAATAAAATCCACTGAACTGACAGGCTTTGTGAAAAGCATGAGTTCAACCAGCTTCTGCTGAACAGGAATTCTGCTGTTGATACATCCTTTACATGGAAAGGTGAAGTACCATTAAGGTCCTCCTGAAATGATTGAATCCACATTTAAATAGAGAACTCAGGCTAGTCACGGACTTCTCTACAAGGTTCATTATCAGGAAATGCCCATTTTAATTACCCTCCTAAAGACTCTGGAATTCAACCAGAGGACAAAATTGTTCAGTAAACAACAGCTTACTTCATTAAGTACATAAAGGATTTCAACAGCTGAATCTTTATCCATCTTTGATAACCTTCCCATTTTCCTCTATTTCACCTTCTTTCTCCCCTGGAGGATCCTGTATCATTGTTTGATGAGCTTCCACTATTATTAGCCTTTCCTTGGTCACAATTAAGAAGAGTAGTCTGGATTTATGTTCAACTTTTATGGTGCTAGGAGAAAGAATAGGTTTGATTAATACTAAACATTTTAAAAGAAACCCTTGTACTTCAACAGCCTCTCTTTCTAAAATCTACTTAATTTTTTTAAAGGCTGAAATAACTAGTAATTAGATTATAAGACATATTCCTACTCATAGCAAGTAGATGAAGCATACATTTTCCTTGCAATGTTCTTTACTTTAAAATACATTACAGAAACTCCATGCTATGAGTCTGAGATTACCTTGTATTATACACCAGAATTCTTGGTACTTTAGAAAGTGCATTGGACTTTGAATCTGAAAGATTCATTCCTACTGTTACTGTATGATGTTGGAGCATTCCTCTCTCTCGCCCTGTTTTGAACAGCTATCACGTTTAGATGATCTATACTCAGTATATCTATATTAATGTACATACTATATTGAGTAATTTGGAAAGGTTCGGTTTTCTTCATGTCATTGTCATCTTTATTTCATTATCGGTTACTGGAACAGGCTCCCTAGGGAAGTCATGGCACCAAGCCTATCAGAGTTCAAGGAGCACCTGGACAACGCTCTTAGTCATATAGTTTGGTTTTAGGTAGTCCTGCAAGGAGCAGGGAGTTGGACTCGATGATCCTTATGGGTCCCTTCCAACTTGAGATACTCTGTGATTCTATGATCTACTTCACAGTTACGAAGAAGGCTAAATCCACGCAGAGTCATTAAGCAGAAAAAAACCTATACAGAAAAGGGTACAACACATTAACATAAGCAATGACAGGAAAATACTACTGGTAATGTCTTTAAAACTATGTCTGTTCAAGAAGAATGCTCTTTCAAAAGAGCAACTTTTAGGTAAAAGAATGAACAGTAACACTATAGAACAAACTATTTCCATGCATGATCATTCGGGGAAGAATCACCCAAAAAACTGTATTATATCAAATCAAGTATTGATTCCTGGTCATAAATACGTTCTTTTAAAGTGCCCAGGTTTTCTTCCTCTCAGATAGTATAAGAGCACTCAAAGACTCCAGCAAAAGTAATGCAAAATTACAGACTACAATATACTGTAACACAAGACTATCTTTATTTCAAAATCATACAAAGTATAAACAAAAAGATATAATTACACTGAAGTAAACCCTGCTCTTTAAGTATTTGAATACTTAAGTAATGATACAGTCATCAAAAAATGCCTTTATTATTTCTCATTAAGAAATTTTATCTTATAGAGCGATACATCATGAAATCAATTGTTGTACATCTAGGGAATTTACCAATAGAGCTCTCTTCCACTGGGGTGTACACTTTGATTTGTCTCATGTGAGTGTCTCTTCCATTTTGGTGATTAGCTAGAACAGCAATCTGAATCATAAATGTGCGAATAGGCTTCTTATGAGTATCTGTTAAAGGAACATGAATCCAGCCGCTTGGTTCCACTAATTCAAGTTGCTGCCAAAAACAAGACAAAAAAGCAAAACATTCAGAAACAGTTAACATAATATAAATGATCACATATTAAACCTGTTTAATAGAACAGAGACTTGCAAATCAAATTTCAGTTACTTTTTCAATTGAATTTGAAATAGTACAGTTGAATACTCACAGCTAATTTACTGCTGGTGTAATTGGATACAAATTAATTTAGTTAACTACAGTTGTGTTTGCTTTTGCCTTTCAGAATCTACCCTTCATTTTGTGCCTTAACCTTAAAATAAAAATCAATATAAAAAAATACAGACTTGAGTATAAATTCAAGAAAGTCAAAGCAGTACTATTTGGATCTTGTTACTGAAGTACACTGCTCAAAGATGACAAAATATGCATCTTAAAGTTAAATTGTTTTATTAGGCACTCTGAACTAAAATATGCTAGAATGGCTTACGTAGGAAACTAAATCCACACAAAGTCTGGGTTTTCAGAAATTCCTTAGATTATTAGGGGGACTGGGGAGGAGGAAGCGGAAGGTGACAGAGGAAAAAATACAGGATAACTCACAGACTTCATCTCACCTATGTGTCAAGACAGATGCCTGGCCAATTAATAACTGCTGCACAGCCATTTATTCACATTCTAAGGTCCACTTTGACTTGGCTTTTATACAACAAACCAAGTGTAATATGATTATTTTTTTCTTTTTTAATTTCAATCCTACAGAAACCAATGTCAAAGCAAGCAAAGAATTTCATTTCCTTAACTCTAAACCACATCACTGACACATCAGCATGCTGAAATCAAGTTAGATGCTATGCAGAAGTGTGGTAACAGCTTTTGTTTAAAGCTAGTTGCCCAACTTCAAAGCACAGCTCAAAACACATATGGAAGAGCACACAAGTAAGCGGAAGTCTTGGGGGGGGCGGCGGGGGGAGAACAAAACACAACCCACAACCCAAAACAGTTGTCCACAAGGTTGTGGATTTCACACAGCTAAGCAAATAAGACTGCTGTTCCTAGCAGCTGAGTTCCTCTAAGGAAGACCTATGCTTTGAGCAGCTCAAAATGCCCATCTTTCTCCTGAAAATACTGCATGACAAACATCCTGTCAAATGCTTTGCCTTTGCTGAAGCTTTCAAAAGACCCATCTGAGATCTACTGTTTCAAAGACAGCAAATACCCTGAGGGAATGATCCAAGAAAAAAAGTGAAGAAGGTGATGACTACTTTAAGTTTAAAGAGACAAAAAAACCTCTCACACCTCCACCTTAAAAAAAACCAGAAAGAACCTCCCCCCCCAGCCCGAAACTCTCCACTGCTGCAGGCTCTTCAACAAATAATTTCCAAAGCATTAAATTCACTAAACCTTAGCAACAAATCTTTTCACTCTGGGAGCTAGACACTTCCACAAACACACATTCACTTATTTGTTTTAACCCTGTCCCTTTCAAAAAACCTACAAAATCTTTTTTGCATAAGGAACTTCAGGTAACAGTTGGCTTTACAAAGAGATGAAAATGATGTACTGTTGAAGCGGCTTTACAAAGGGGAAATTTATCATGGTGAGGTAGTAGTCAACAGTTTGAGCAAGTATGCTTTCCATCTCCACAGTGAACAGAAAGGATGAGGATCCCAGTAATATTCAACTAGAACTAAGGTAAAGTGGCTATAATTTAGAAGAGAATTAAAAGGTTATTGCTAATTAAACTTGCATTTTAATATTATTCTCACAGTCTACAAATTTTGACTGCTGATTCAAAGTGGAAAAATTAAGCTCCAGAGCTATGATACTGGGATTTTTATGCTTGGATCAGTATGAAGTGGATTAGTTAATACAGTAAAAAAAAAGTACTACTTTCTATAGGTTGACATCATTGGTTTCAGATAGATCCAATATAGTTCAGGTTTGCATGCTTTATGGGGAAAGAAATTGCAAAGACTGAAATAATGACTCCACCTCCAAGAAGGCTACCAAGGGATTGGCAAAACTGGACTATTTGTACAAAAGGAAGTTGGATGCTTATTAAATTCAGAGAAAAATCACATCTTTTATTTTAAGAGAATTATTAGGGTCATAAGCTTAAGCATCGGAAAGTTAAGAGTTGCAAAGGTAATTTTATTAATGGAATAATATACTCGTATCTTATTATATAAATAAACTTTTGATTACATATTTATGAATGCTTTGTTTCATCCCTGATCAATGGGAGGTGGTCATATGCTTTATTTATAGCATGTTATTTTTCAGTCCTGCTACAAAGGCAACCAATTTCTTCACGAGTCTTTCTACAGAGATGGGACAAGTAATTTCTACATCTGTAAAACAGGCCACTGAGGCATTAGGTTAATTAAATTAAAATATTCCCTAGTTCCAGATGTCAAATTTCACATATTTTGAACCTGATTTTTACTGTCCTTAGTAGCATACAGTATTTTACATGAGGTTTAGCTCCCACTGAGTTCACTTGCAATTATAAGTGTCTGCATTTCTGTGAATTGATAAGAGTTCTCAAACCAGCCACGAGAACACACAGTATGAGCAGCCACCTAGGAACAGTTATTTGAGTGCACCATGTAAAAACACCATGACTAAGCACAGATTGCACAAAATTCATCAAGCAGCATTCAATTGTCTTAGCCACAAAGCCTTTTTTTTATTCCTGAAATCTCTGCTTCACTTACTCCACATGTTCCAACTTCTGTAACAGAGAAATACACATCCTTTACTGTACAAATCCTGGACTCATCCTCAGAATAGACCCCTTACCCCATTCCAATCAAAGCATGCAACACTTGTGATGAAGTTGGAGGCTGTACTACAGTATTAAGTGCAAAAGGTCTGAGTTAGACTTAAATGTTTGAAATAAGTGAGCTCTTGATTTTTGCCCTCTAAATAACATTACTGTACTGACATTTTTTGAGTCTAACTTTTTTGAAATTGATGCCTACATAGTTCAGTAAAGTGATTAAAGCCTTGAGACCCACTCAACTACTGAAGTTTAAATATAACAAAACCTAACAATTATTATCTGAACATCCACTAGAAAAGGAAGTAATATTTTGCCAGTATGATACACACATTTCCTGTGACCAAAGGAATGGTACATACACATATGCTCCTAAATTCTTCTCCTCCACATCCATCATGCTCTTTCAGATCAGTGAGACAGTTTCTTTTTCCAGAGGGCCCAGGTCCTTCACCAGGGAGAAGGAACAGGACATGGGAATAGGCGGTGGTGGTACAAGACAAAACGCTGCCCACTCTTAGTTCAATGTCAGCACCCAGATCCAGCCGTTACAATTCCTAGCAGAAGTGGGATGAAATATGCAGCTCTACTCTGCCTGGAGCATTCCCAGTGTGAACAGAATCTAAAGGAAACTTACTGTGAAGTTTTAAGAAATTCCTATTAAGCCCATGCAAATGGCAATCTTTCAAAGCCTTGTAAACCGGTCTGGAAATTTGGGTGGATTTTTACAGGGAGGCAAAAGGCACATCCTCAACACAAAGGCTGAACTATTGCCAAATTTCAAATCCTTGCTTCAGAGCTTGGGGGCACTGGAGCATCAAAGAAGGACACCAGAATATTCTCACACAAGCAAAATAGCATACTTTTCACTAGCCTTATTCTTGGAACAGAACTGCTTTGGCTGAAACTTTCAAAAAAATTCAACCCAAAGCAGACATCTGGCATGGAAAAATCTGTCTGAACTGAACTTTGGCAAAAGTTAAAGTAACTAAGAGTTAAGCCTTAAAATGGAAAGGGTCACGCAACCTTAAATACAGGTGGCACTAGCAATTCTACCTATAGTAAATACTATTCTTTAAATCCATTTCAGTTGACTTTGCTGTCAACCCTGTTCTTTAAAACCACTAGCCGCTATATATACATACATATATATATATGTTTCACCCCAACTCTACAGTGTAAGTCCACTATGAGAAAATACCAGATTAAGTTTCCTCCTGTATTTTTTCCTCCTATGTACATCATTAAGAACCAGTCACAATTAACTGGCTTCCAGAAAAGTTTTAAAAATCAGCTATATTATTAATTACCTGAGTGAAATTTAAAATCAGAAGTTTCTTTCTGTTATGTGTTTTACCAGAAAAGGTTAAAAAAAGGGAAACAAAGGAAAGAATCAATGCAAGTTCAATATTAGTGACTCAGGACAGTTCCTGCAGCTCTAGACTAATATTATATACAATATACTAAAAGCCCAGGGTTTGTTTTTGGTTTTTTGTTTTTGTGGGGGGTTTTTTGTGTTTTTTGTTTATTTGTTTTTTGGTTTTTTTGTGGATTTTTTGTTTGTGGTTGTTTTGTTTGTTTTTTTTTTTTAAATTTGCTTCTAATACTATAAATTGGTAAATAAGAGCATGAAAGTCAAAATAAAGGAACAAAGGGATAAAAATTGAAATGGAAAAGTCACTCACCTGTCCTTTGCTGCTGTTATATACTCTTATCTATCTCTTCTCCTGCTTTCTCTCCATTGCTTTCTTATTTTTCCTGTCCTCTGCGTGCTACAGCTTTACCTATGGACATATAGTCCCACTCCAGTAATCCATGTTATTTTGAAAGCCAAAGCAGAAATAATGTCCTCAATGGAAATCTCGTCCCCAGCCAATTTAATAGCCCTGTTTCTTCACTTTATTGCATAGTCCAGAGGTTCTACAGAATTCCATACACATTTGGCAAGGCTACTATTGCAAATAATGAGTGTTCTACCATAGAAGATGCAAACCACACAACAAAATAAAAATTTAAAAAAAAAAAGTCAAGGCCAAAGCAACTTAAGGTTACAATTCACAAAGATGACTGAGCACAAGACCAGAGGTTTTAAGAGGAAGCTTGTTGTACACTGGTATTGCTGGCCTCCTTATAGGATATGAGATTATTTATCCAAAGACAGCTTTGTACTTCTATTGTACTTAATCCTACTTAAGTTGAATATTGACCTCTTTTCCATACTCAGTGATATTCTGCTTAAATTCTGTGGTGTCTTCAAAGTGGCATATAACTC